ATAGAAGAGTGAAGTAGAAGGAGAGGGGGTTGGTTGGGGCGAAAGGAGGGGGAAGAGAGGGGGGGGGGGGGGGGGGGGGGGGGGGGGGGGGGGGGGAGTCTCCCCGTATAAAACTTTGTTGAGTACCCTCCAGGAAGGATTTATACTTAAACCATTTCTTTAATCACTTTTCTTTTTTTTGTTCTGAGGTTTTTGCTTACAGGAATTCCTAAATAACGTTTCTTTTTTCCCAAACGGGATAGCAGCATGGCAGTGGTATGGTTTTCTCGTACTTTCGATCATGAACAGAGAATTGGCTGCGAGTTGCCCGCGTCAAATTGCGCTGAAATCACAGGGTCTTTACACGTGAAGTTTTGTCGCGCGACAAGCGCCCGATATAATAATCGGCCGGCCTCAAGCTTGTTGGATTGTTACCTGTTTCCTGATTGGCTACAAGCCAAGGTGGTCCATGCACGTTCAGAAAAAAATATATTGTGAGCCCTTCAGTTTAAAGGGAACTGTCTCTTTTCCTCGTCTTTGTTAGAATTGGTATGTAATTACGAGCTTCATTTAACAGATTGTTACCCAATTTAGGACATTTGGAAGGTTAGCATTAAAAGATCGAGAATCAACTATTAAGCGAAAGTACCTAAACCTTGCGTCCTCCCTCTTTAAAAGAAGGTTACCTGCTGTTGTTTGTTCATTTTACGCGATTATGTTCCAAAGAAATCCTGCCGTGACCGGATGCTAAGCTGTTTTCTTTAATAATAGGGAGCTTAAGCAACTGCGACGACGACAACGACGATAACTTCAAGACTGGACATAGGTTTATTAATGATCAAAACAACAGCTCTGCACGTGCATCACGCTATTTAGTACATTCTTTGATGTCCACTGCTCGACTACGACGTGAAACCTCCTAATTTGACGTTTTATGGAGGACGAGGACATACGACGACGAATTCTCCTTCCTCTTTTTGAACCTGAGTAAAATCCTTACAAATTCAACTCCAAGAAAGGTCGCCTGCATTTGACATTTTTAGCGGGTCCAAAGTAGACGCGATTAAGTTTGAAAGAAGGAAAATTCATTTTTTAGCGACGTTTTTGCTGCCGTCGTCGTCGTTGCTTAAGGTCCAGGATCACGCGATAAATCGACTTCCTGTCAATACCGTTTCAAGACGTTTCAGCGTAATTTGTGCTAGAACATGTTTCTTATTGGTGCACCCGCCTTTGACGAGGAGAAAACATATCTGATGGGATTATTGTGCGTCACTGCTGTAAGGGTTATAATGATATAAAAAGGCACTTTCCCGGCCACGCTATTTGACACGAAGATTATCTGACAAAACATGGAGCACTTCGCTTCCTTTATCGTGTGTACTCTATTGCTGTTGAACGTGTATGGCACTGAGGGTCACGTCAGCAAGAGATGCAAACGCGTGGTTGACTTGTCAGGATACACTAAAGTAAATGCTGCCCACGGACGTTGGCCGCAGGATGGCTTCTGTCAAGTAGCGTACCTTAGAGACCACAGTACATCAAGTTACCAGCTCTCAGTCGATATGTACAACTTCATTGGATGGCGAGGAGTCAACTCTGGTCATCCAGGAGTGTTTTTCAACGCCGAAGATGAAGATAACTATGACTTCGTCTTTTTCAGGTTTGTTGCCATTTATACACGAGTAAGAGGGAAGATGTCATTATTTTGGTTTCAAACCAGAGCGACAATCTGAATTTTAAAAAACCTTCTTACGACCAGTTCAGTTTACGGAAATGATTTCGGAGTATTAGAAGTTCTATGTGAAGATGGGGAGTGCTATATTAGCTGACATGTTTTCGTGACTCAGTCATGCAATAATCCTTTAAGGTTTAGTTGCATTCGCTTAATTTTACTTATTGTTTCTTTTTATTTCCCAGGCCTCATTTGTCCAGCATATGTTTTCAGACAGGTTACGTTTACAATGGTCAACCAAAATTTGACGGAGCAAAGTCCGGCTCTTGCCCTAACGGTCCCCCCAGGGGAGCAGAGTGGTTCAACATCAAGGTGGTTGTGTCGAACTCCACTCCTGCCGGGCAAGTAAGGGTCTACCTGAAAGGAACATTGGTGACGTTTTTCAACCCGCGCTATCCAATCAGAAAACGTGGTGGTGTCTTGGTTGCCAATGGTTACCATAATGTGGTGTATTACAAGAACTTCAAGTTATTGTAAGGAAGTCTGTTGTGTCAACTTAAAGAACGGCTTCCTCAAGCAAAAAACAGTTAGTTTAACAGGGTTAAAACCATATACTACTGTAGCGTCGATCACTTGTGGTTTGGCATCGAGGATAACAAGTTGCAGCTTACTTTCAAATGTCATTGAAAGGATTAAAAATAAAATATAAAGCCCTTGTGTAAAGCTCTGTGGAGTCATTAGTATCGCTTGCTTGAGCAGAGCGAGACTCTAAAAATGCGGTCGTTTTTTTTTTTCGGTGTGACCTAGTTTGTAGGCCCCGCGTTCTTAGCGAAGACCTTGGAAACTGGGAATAAGAATCGTGACGACTTTCATTGTATGGAAATGAGTCTCGTGATGAGAATGTAGTTTATTTCGGCGATGACTGAAATGACGCATGTAAGTTTAGTAATGACGTAATTTTTCCCGAATGGAGGCCCTTGATTTTCGTGTAATTATGCATGACATGCAGGCACATCCCCAAGCAGGATGAGAAAATATTATAGCGGGGAAATCCTCACGATTTTGTGGCTTTTTAAGGCGTTACGTTTCTCAGAATATTGTCGCAATTACAGGAAATGTACGGTTAAATAGATTCACTTTGTTTTATGTATTTAATTGATAGATTTTCGCAGTTGTTACGATGTGAAGTCGTGTTGCACTTCATAAATACTTGAGATATGAAGTATCCACTGTCACGTAATTTTTACGTGCGCACGTGCGTAAAATTTGCGTTCGCCAATAAAATAAAGGCAATGTATGAAAGGCTGCACGTGCAATTATGTAAGCGTAAAAGTAGAAACTCGCTTAATTTGACGTTTAATCGCAATACTTTATGTCTTACCTCTATTTGATTTACGTGATTAAAATTTACGTGCGTTAACGTGCGGAGCCAAAAACGCATCAGTGGAAATCCACCCTAACGTGTCACGGATGTGTTTATACCGGTAGTATAGCTTTGAACTTAACTAACCGCACGCTGTACTTGCAGCACTTCATGTCCATGGTTAATAGAAATCCCATATCGAGCTTTTCCGGAACGGGTTGGTTAAAGAATTCTATGGCTTAAAAGCGTTGATTATTTTGGAGCAACTGATCACTTCAGTGGTCGAAAAAAAAAAGTATAATCTTAATGAGCAAAATTTCAAGGTTTACTGGAAAATCAGGATCGAGGATCGAGGATCGAGAAATCAGGGATCAAGGATCGGCTAAAAAGAACTTGAAAATAAAATAAATAAATAAATAAATCGTGGATAAGTGATGATGTGGGCCGCAGACTGTAGATAAATTTCACAGAACATAACCCCGTTAGCTGTACTGAACGCTAAATTCAAGTAAACTAATCCGAGTCTGTCTGAGTCAGTGATTGTTTTGACGAGAAAGTGAAATTTTCCGGGAAAATGAAACGCTTTATCCTGTTGATACTTTATACAAGAAAAAACTTTTAACAGTTTTTAATTTTTAAGTGTACATTTGCTTTCAGTACTCCTTATTTTTCTTGTAATTGTTGTATGCACGACCCCACCAGCAATGCTGATCTTTTTATCGTGCCATAAACTAAGGTTCTTACCTACCTACCTACCTACCTACCCACCCACCCACCCACGCACCCACTATATACATTATGACATACAACACTCGTTTTGTATTCCAAACGAAAAAGTAGTATAAGGGCACCGGGGCCTTTGACAACAAAACGCATCTCCAAGCAAGCGAGACTCAACGCTACTAAGAGCGTTCTTGTTTGTCTTTCAGTGCAACTATAGATCACTATACTATATAGAGAAGTGATGACCTCAAAAAAAAAAAGGAACAAAATCTTGGGAAATTATGGGATAGGTTAGCATGTACAGAAAAAAACAAGATGAAAAATGCCCAGCTGCTGAAAATCAGCCCGTTAGTGCAAATTGGTGGTGAGATATAAGTACTGTAATACTCTGATGACTTTCTATACACTCAATCATTCTAAACTTTACTTGGATCGTAACCATCGAGGCCTATTTTGGAAGGATTTATAACAGTGAAGTAATCGGAGCATAATGGCGTGAAAAAATGTGCTTATTACCACTTTATGTAAGAACCTGTTAAAGCTAAGTTAGGAAAATGAAGATTGTTACTTGCGGGTATTTACTGTATCGCGGAAACCGCGAGCTACATGCACTTTGCATAATCGGTTTAAATTGTCAAGATAAAAAAAAAAGACCAACAAGATTTCATCTTTACGACAAGCTGCAAACTGCCAAAAATAGTTTCAACTCTCGACACGATGTGATTAAACAATAATTCAAAAGATTTTGATAATGAGCAGCAAAGGTAATTAATCATCAAACCAGCGCGAACGTTTAGCAGGAACTTCGCCTTCATCCCTTCCAAACAACTTGTTCTTATATTTGTTCACCATGTCGGTGAAGTTGGATTCGTCTTTTTTCTCCTGCTCTTTCCGCCTAGCTCCTTTCCTCTTTCTATTCGTAACTTCGTTCTCTGCGTTGGTGTGAGTAAATGAATCAGCTCTTTCGTGAAAAGTTTTACCAATATTCCCCCCTCCTTTCAGAGGTTTCTTCTTTTTGTTATCCTTAATAGCCGCTGGTAAATTGGCTTTCGCTACCGCAGGCTCATTATAGGATTTATTCACGTTTGAAGAAATGGGTGGAAACTTTCTCTGTTTTTGACGATCAGTTTTACCAAGATCTCGAGGAGCTGGTAGCTCCGCTGAAGATGTCCTCTTTCCTTTTTTCGTTTTCCATGAATTTTCACTATTTTTTCTTTGGAACCTTACATCGCTGTTTGGAGCTTTGCCCTCCTTACTTCCTGTGTCACGTTTTTCTTCTTTGCCTTCCTTTCCCTCCTCTAATTTCCTTTCCTTGTTCGCTTCTCTCTTTCGCTGCCTTTTTTCTCTCCGTTTCTGACTCTTTTCCAGTCTCTTCTCTTTATTTGTCTTGGGCTGTTCACTCTCTGGCTGCTGTCTTTGTCGAGCTTTGTCTAACCGCCGCTGTTTCACCTTCACAACGAGGCTATTCTCCAATGAAAACTCAACAATCGGGCGGCGATCGGCGCCAAATATATCTGGATTGTTATTGGTTGCGCGCAAGGCTGCCAAAGCGTCGTTGTGATTGGCAAACTCAACGAAGCCATATCCCATAGAACGTCCGCGGCCCGAACTGTCCACGCGATCTTTGCTGCGAATTATCAGCACCTTCTTGACAAATGCATTTCTTCCTGCCACGGTGCTGAAAATTTCTTTAAGCCGTTTATCGTCAACATTGAGGGGAAGGTTCCGCACGCAAAGCCTAAAGCCAAAGAGTAGAAACATTTCGTTCTTACTAAGAAGCAAACAAACGCGATCAGTGGTTTGTTGAGTAAAGGTTGATTTCTACTGACGCTTTTTTGGCTACGCACATTAACGCACGCAAATTTCAATCAAGTAAATAAAATAGAGGCAAGATAAAAAGTGCCCAGCTTAAACGAGAAGTTAAGCGACGTTCGACTGTTACGCTTACGAGCGACATTTCATGCATTGCCTCTATTTTATTTGCGAACGCACGTACCCACGTAAAAATTACGTGACACTGGAAATCAACCCTTAGACAAACAGGAGCGTGTTTGTTTATGGATTGGGTAGGGATGGCACCTCGCATGGGACCTACGAGTCCCATTCGTGTACATTCCCCCTGGGCAGGCCTGTGTCCAGAAAAGCTGGTAAATAAAATTCATTTATCGTTATTGTACACTTGCCTGGTCGTTGAGACAAAGTAGTTCGAATTTTCCAGTTTTGCTTTTTTCTCTGCCTCAGCCTTCTGCCTTTTTACTATATCACTTTTTGACAATTCTTGAGCGGCAGTCGAACCTGGAAGAATAAGACCTTCTTTAGCCAGATACAAATTGCGTTTGTCTTTAACTTGCTTATTCCCTCCTGTCCTTTTTCTTTCCTTGGCCAGCTCTGTCGCTTTTCCACGTGTAACAGCTTTGGTTACATTCAGTGTGAAGTTATCTAAAGAAAGACCTAGATTAAAAAAAAATGGCATGTTAGAATTCCTACAGTACCTAAACCTTCCTGGTTTTTAAGTTAATTAAAACCTTAGCGAAACCTCAACTCTTTATGTATGAATTTTCTAGGGTCCTTTTCAATGTTCTGGGGACTAAATACAATTAAAATTACTGCATAATATAAATTGAGTACTATCATTATTTCAATCAAATGCCACAAGGAAACCAGCCATTCAAAAGGCTGGAAAGCTGTTGCACATTCTGCCGCTTTCAGCAGGTTGAATTCAATGGCATTTAGAAAGCAACTCGAACAGTAACTTTCTTCCACTTCAGCTGTTTTTTTTTAAGGTTTATACATTTATAACAAAGGGCCAAGGGACTGCTCTCACTCGCAGACGACTTTTCTGGAAAACAGGTAAAGAAAGACTCTGCGTCAGCATCAGGTTTTCTTTCATTAGAGAACTGTAGATTCGGGGACGAGAACGACTACGAAGACAAGATATGACTTTTTAAAAAATTCTTTTCGCTCGAAAGTTCAATTTCACTTTTTTCACCACAAAAGTTAGTAGGGTTACTTTTAGTGAAGGAGGTTAAGTCCTTTCGCGATTGCAAAATGATAAAACTTCTAACATTTGATAACTTGTTTCCGTCACTACGAATGGTGACGGGTTTCACGTTTTCCCGCCAAAATGACACCGGTTCACGTATGCGCGCTACTTACTATTGAGAAAATCTTGTACTCCTAGTCGCCCTCGTTTAAGAATCTAAAGGTCTCTATTAAATTAGGCTGATTTAGCAACAGAACGGGAACGTCATTTGACGACGGCAAAGCGCGCAAAAAGGACTAAACTCTACTTCCAGTGCCCAATGTGCCGCTCAGCCATTGGTCAAGCCAGTTGTTTGATTTGCGCGCGCCGTCGTCAACTAACGTTCCCGTTCTGTTGCTAAATCAGCCTATTATTTACACCACGACCTAACCTGCACCCTCATCAGAAGTTCCTTGGAGACACTGCTCAGCACTCTCTGTGGTTTTGAACTTCACAAACGCCATTCCTTTGCTGTGACCGGTCCGCTTGTCCACAACTAACTTGCAGTACTCCATGTCTCCAAACTGCTCAAACAGATCCTGGAGAGCCTCCTCAGTGGAATCAAATGAAACGTTACGGATAAACAATGTTTTGCCTTCTTTTACATCAGTNTGACCGGTCCGCTTGTCCACAACTAACTTGCAGTACTCCATGTCTCCAAACTGCTCAAACAGATCCTGGAGAGCCTCCTCAGTGGAATCAAATGAAACGTTACGGATAAACAATGTTTTGCCTTCTTTTACATCAGTCGATTGTTTGGGTCTTCTAGCTTGGAGGGTGGATTTATGTCCATGGTCTTCATATTCATCTTCACTCTCCACATCATCATCATCATCATCATCATCATCATCACCATCACCATCATCATCATCATCATCATCATCATCATCATCATCATCATCATCATCACGGTCTTTGTCATCGGACCCACCACGTTTATCTTTGGCTGCTTCAACATCAGAGTCAATTTCACTGTCGCTGTGTGAAACCTCATCATCATCATTGCTTTCTTCTTCACTTCTTTTGTCTTCGTCAACTTCTTCTTTCTCTCTTTCAGACACTTTGTCTATTTGAACAGAAAACAATTTTTTCTTTCAGTACAATGAAAAAAAAATTGATAATCATTAGATGGTCTGAGGACTAGTCTGACATGTCATATGTCTCCACCCCCTAACCCGTGGGGGGCGCGGGGGAGAGAGATGTCTGAATTCCGAGCGTACTAATGCCGTCTGGTGACGTCACCTAGTAAATTATGCATTTTTGCATATTAACAAGTTGGCAGCCATAAGTCACGGAACTGTGAACAGCAGCACGCATATGATCGATATGAGGAGCTCTGCATTTTGAGTGCCGTGAAGCTTCACTGTAAAGCCTCCAGAATAAATGCACAAGGTCGTTTAACTTTGCGAGTTTGAAATGAAGTGTTGACACTAGTGTTGAATGTCAACACTACATGTATCTCAAACCAGATGTTTTCCTTAGTGCGTTCAGCCAATAATAAAAGGATTTCCCTCGGAAAGTTAATAGCCAATCAGAAAATACCTACCATATTAGCAAAAGTACGTGTCGGTGATGTCACTGGACAAGAATATAACTATTAGAATTCAGACGTCTCTCTCCCCCCCACTCTCCACCAGTTAGGGGGTGCAGACATTTGACATTTCAGACTATCTGAGAACCAAAAGATCCAGTGAGCAAAGAGGCATGATTACAATTTTCTTGTTCTGTTAGTAGCAAAACAGTTGTCTATAGATTGATTTCAAGAGTGTAGCTCCTGGTGAGTGCCAAAATACTCCAATTCCACTTTGCAAAAGCACATAAGAATCCCATAAATCCTCTATTAAACCCCTAGGGGGCTTATTTATTTCAAACACTTTGAGGGGGGATTAATAGAAACAGGGGCTTTTTTGAGGGCAGGGCTTAATTAAGCGAAAATGGTGGTACTAATAATTCTAGAAAGCAAAGTAGATGAGCTCAAGTACAAGAAGTTGGAGGTCATGCAGCTGATGATCAAAACAAATTAATCTGAACTCCCAACACATGAGTAAACTATCCTCAACCAGTCCAAATGAGGTTTAACAGTCGTGATTGATTAATACAAAGTTTATCAAAATTTAATACATTTAGCACGACAGTACTAATTGAGGACACTACTATTTCTCTTCTTTTGGAGACAGGGCCTTCATTTTACATGGGCACACATGTATGTGTTACCGGTCAAATTTGATTTCAGGTTAATTTTGATTTAACCTAGGTTGATTCTCAATTTCCAATGTCTCTTAGCCCTAGAAGACAAAGGAAATTGAGAATCAACCTAGGTCTAAAAAAATTTAACCTGAAATCAAATAATTTTACGTGTAACATATGCAAAGGTGTAACTGTTTGTAGGGCATAGGAAGTTACCTTCATTTCTCAGTTATACTAAACCCCTAAGTATTGATCTGGCCCTGAATTGAACCCACAACCTCCCAATCTGTAGTCAAGCAATCTACATTCTGTACTAACTGAGCTAATCCTTCTGTGGTTTGTAATCATTACAAATTGACTTGCACAGTAAAAATCACCAAATAAACTAAGGTTGATGATTGATATTGCTCACTTTTTCCAACTTAATGCATAAATGTAAATCATGTGTCAATGGCAAGGCTATTAAAACTAAAGCAACTCAAACAACAAACCTTCTTCGCCTTTCTTTGTTTCGAACATGGTTTTTGGAACTGCCCAGTCTACTGCTACAGGACGCCCAAGAATCTCCTTCATGTTTGATTCTTTGATGGCTTTAGCAGCATCAAAGACATTGGAAAACTGCACAAATGCAAACCCCAGGCTAAGCTTTCTCTTTCCCTCCATCTTGGAAGGAATTTTTACCTCAGTAACTTGTCCAAACTGAGAGAAAAATTTCTGAAGGTCTTCCTCTTTGCATTTGAATGACAAGTTTCTCACAATCACTCTTGACTTCTTCAAAGATTTTTGACTAGGAGTCTTTCCCTCTCTGGAAAGAAGAACAGCTTCAATGGAGTTGCCTTTAAAAATCCTTCCATTCAGTTTCTTAACAGCTTCTCTTGCATCCTTGTGAGACTTGAACATAACAAATGCCGTTGGTTTATCCCGTCCTTCAACTGGGAATGTGACTGTCTCCACTGTCCCAACTTTGCGACACTTTTTCCGAATATGATTTGGATTAATGCCTGATGTTGCAATTCCTGTTATCACAATTGTTCTGCCAATGTCATATTCTGACTCTTTAAGCTTTTTGTCATGTTTGTCACTTTTTAACTTTTTCCTTGATGGTTCTTCTTCATAATTTGGCAATTCTTCAGCTTTGTTGTTCTTGATATCTGAGAAAACAAGTCACAAACAATGTATCACACATAGATACAAATTTAGCAGCATTGATGCTGATTATAAGCTCAGGATTATACATTACTGACCAAGCATAGAGTCAACATGACTGTTTTTTGGGCACTTTTCTTTTAGTCCATAGCAATGCAATGAGGAGAGGGGTGAATAGGGGTATGCAAATCCACTGATCCGTGATGATTAATTTTATTAACCAAATCCTCCATTAAGATTTCGCTCTTTAATCCAAAATCCTGGCAAAAATATTTTATTACACACAAAGTCCAAAATCGAGGCCCAAAAAAATAAAAATGGATGAATCCTCAATCCACCGCAATTGCAACAACTGCAAATTCATTAAAATTTCACACTGAGTCCGAAATCTTGGCAAAAACTTTATAAAATGGACTGATCTTTTGGCACATACCCCCCCCCCCCCCCCCCCCCCCCCCCCCCCCCCTACTCCCACCCCTTCTACCCCAACCATCCCCTAAATAAACTCTTTTCTACAAAAAAAAAAAACAATCAATAAAAACAAAAACACAAAATGACAACACAAAAGAATAATTACCACAACATCGAACAACACAAAAGTACTACACCGCCTTCAGTGCCTTTAACAAAAAACCACGCAAAAATATTTTTATACCAACAAAACCCAAAAACAGGGCCCAAAAAAAAAAAAAAGGGGAAAACCCCAACCCCCCCCCAACTCAAAAACCCAAAATTCTTTAAAAATTTCCCCCGGGCCCCAAATCTTTGGAAAAACTTTTTAAAATGGGCTGTTTTTTTGTGCCACCCCCCCCCCCCCCCCCCTCAATGAGGCCATTATTTTGCCACCTTGACCACATGAGCTTGTTCCACAAACAATTTGATTTATGGCCAAAAAAAGATCTTCACTTGTAGGTCAAAGCAGGCAAATCACATGTAGGCAAGATCTCAGGTAGTCAATCACAAAATGGACTCACTTCATCTTGCCTGCTGGTGGAGCCAGCCATATGATACGTACATGAAATGTGAATGACTAACAAAGACGGGTACATGTGGTATTGCCCTTTGTTAAGAACTATGCAGCACAGGGTTTTTTTTAAGAATTCTAGTGGCAGGAGAAAGGTGTAACATTACAGGAGATTATTTTCAAAGAGGTTCTACATCTGAATAAAAAATATTCATAGTATACCGAACCTTAGCCGGAGAATTCTGCGTATTAAATGGAGAATTCTCCGATCTCCGATGCCTAAAGAACAGTCTGTATATATTGGGTGTCATCACACTTGCCATTTTCCCCTTGGGTGTAAGGCTCTTGGCCTTGCCCAAGGGAAGCAACTTTTTGTGTGTGAATGTTCTTCACATTGTGAAATTGCCTGGCGGAAATTTCCAAGGAGATGTCAAAAAGATCAAAAGAATTTTTCATGACAGTTCCTGAGGTAAGTTCTACACATGTACGGGTTAATAAGAACCCAAAGCGGCTCAACCATCAACCAATCATGAGAAAGTAAACTGTACCAAACAGTAGAAATCACATGTTACTTACCTGCAAAGTTCATTTTGGCAAAATCCTACATGTAAAACTGGACTTAAAGTTCAACAACAAAACACAACTTCGAGCACTGCTGTAAATATTTTTACATTTAATAGATTCAAAAACACATTAACACACCAACAAGATTCCTTTATATCAGTCGGCAAGAATTCTTTTCTCAAGAAGATTGATGGTACCAATTTCATGGACCCATGCTTTGTTTTGAGCGACAATTTTTCTCAAAATTCAACAAGGACAGAATAGCTATTGCTACATGTAAGAATGATCAATATGGAGGTTTCATTAAAGGGTAAAAATTTTCAAAAACATTTTATTATTCATGCCAGTCTTCAATGTTTACAAGAAAGAAACAGGGTTCAAGGTCTTTCTTCCCCTTCGGCAATTTATCTCTTGGTAACCACAAAATTTGTGGTTACCAAGAGATAAATTGCCGAAGGGGAAGAAAGAAGTATATAGAAGTGATCAAAACCCAGAGAGAACCCAACCCAAGCTATTTCCACAATACGGTGCCTTTGCTAAAAGGTCTAGTTTAACCGCCCCTAAAAAATGCACTTTTTATTTCAATGTAAATGTATTCAGCACAAAAGTACTAATTTGGGACACTATTTTTTTACGTCTCCTACTGGAGACAGGACCGCCATTTTACATGATCGTCTGAGTCACACGAAGGTCTACCCCTTGCAGGGCAAAGGGAGTACCTTAATTTCTCAGTTACTTTAAGACCCTGAGTATTGGTCTGGCTCCAGGAATCGAACCCGCGAGCTCCTGCTCTGCAGTCAAGTGCTCTACCAACTGAACTAATCCCGCCCAGGTTAATCATCAAGTACAGTTAGTATCTTCTCAACTGTTATTTCAGTAAGTTTCTTTTACTCTTTATAATGTAAGGCACTTTATGTGAGAATTAGAAAATACAATGTATAATAGTAAAACCCATATTTGAAGTGGATACCCACTACACATATCCACTTTTAAAGGTGTCTGCTAAACACACACCTAGACTCATAAAATAAAATGGTAATCTTCCACTTCATGTTGTGATATAGCGATTGTCTACTTTAATGTTGAAATACATGTAAACACCATAACAGCTGCCAGGTTTATCACCTCATTTTAAAATAAATACACTTAAAAAAACAATAAACAACAGCTCCTCATATTAGACTCACTGGCACTTTCCTGCTGCTCCCTGTTGTCATCATCATCTTCATCTTGCTTATGTTTTCGCTTCTCATGTTTTGGTTTCTTGTCAGAAAAACAAATACTGAGTTGCCTCCCTCCAAATGTTTTGACATTATTTATAGCTTTTTCGGCATCTTCAGCAAGCACAAATGTGACATAGCCAAATCCTCTACAAAGACCCCTTGAACCTATCAAAGAATTGAAGCAATTGGTCTAGTGAGAGTACATAGACCCTGGCAGAGTGGTCTGTCTGTCTTCAGGTAACACTTAAATTGGAGCCATTATCTGCTACATTGGCCTTACCACTTTAATGGTTAAAGTGCTTATGTGGTTCGTTCCATTTTTTATACACAGCCCCCTAAGGATGACTGGAATCTGAACCCTCAAATTTTTGTCAGCAGCCTTTGAAAAATGAAATCTGAAGGGTTTATTCTTTGTTGGCACCTTTGAAGAAAACATCCGAATCCCCTTATTCAAAAACCCGTCATCCTTAGGCGGGCGGGCGGGGGGTGGATAAAAGAAAAGAACGTCCCGGCACAGGCCCTTTATTTTGTAGTTTATAAAAGCTTATGTATATATGTATAAGCCAAATCTCTGCAGTTTTTTAAAAACAGATTAGCTTGTAATAACATATTAAAATGTTGAATAAAAAATCCAGTTTTTATTTCCTTCCTGAAACCGACACTGAATTTAGGCTAAAATAAACAAGCTAGCCTCATACTTGCGAGAATTTGTGGGCCACGTGCAAAATTTCACAAAGCTTCTTACCTTTATTACGGATAACAAAACAACGCTTAATTGGTCCAATCTCGCTGAAAAGCTTCTCTAAATCCTGATCCGTCGTAGAAAAGGGCAGATTGCGTACAAAAAGAACCCTTTGAGAAACCACAGCGCGGTTCTTCGGTTGCACGTTTTTGGCGTCGTCGTCCGCCATGTTGGAATACTGGCTGTACATTTCAAGAAGCATACATGACGAACATTCAATTGGGGTCGAAATCCGCTGCGGACTGCAGGCGCTTACAGATCACTTTTCCAAGATGGCGGTGCACGAAGTAGATGTTTTTAGCTTGACAGATATCGGTGAAATACAGCAAGCGTATGCACAAATCCATCTTCACGAGGTATGATAAAACTAAAAAAAATAATGGCAACAAACTCTGCCACAATTTTTTTTCTAATGTGGGCATATTTGATTTGTATTTTCAACCAGTCATGCTCGCTGCTACGTGTCACCGCTAATAACTGTTGTAAGAGTTCCATTCAGTTATTTATCTAATAACTGTATTTTTTTTATTCACCTATGAAACGCTGATTTGTATAATCAGTCAAGGAGGAATCCCAGGGAATATTAAAATAAGCACTCCTGTGTACCGAATTTGTGGGGTACAAACAGTTCACTCTTTTAAAATCACCTTTTAAACAAATCTTTTACTATGGTCTCCCTATGGATACTGTTGAGTCACTTGTAACTAGGCGTCAGAATTTGACGAGGAAAGAATTTAAACGTATCCTAGAATCAGAAGCACATCCTTGCAAACGTTTTTTAGACAAGCCAGTGGATCATGGCCATAATCTAAGATCTTGTAAGACTAACCCAGCGCTCCTCATAACACCAGCATCACGCACTGTTAGGCTCAAACAATCGTTATTCCTAGAGGTGCTAAACTTAACTTAATTTGATATGTATATATAATATGTAGCGTTTTGAATTTTTATTGTAATATTACCATAATTCTTATCGCCAAAGGTAATAAATAAAGGTATTATTGTTATTATTATTATTATTATTATTAACAGTCTTTCTCTCCGATCAATTGCAAAAAGTAATTTTCCAACACTCTATTTGTTTGTTTCGCCGATTTCAAAATGTCAATCAATTAAAAGGTTGAACTAATGCAATGTTAATAGAGTCACATTCAGTTAAAATGAAATTTGTCACGACACTTTCGGACATGCTCCCCTAAAATTAAAGCAATTTAATTTTACTTAAAATGACTCTTCCTAAAACTTTCATTTGCAATGTCCTATGAAAGGAACGAACAAGACATTCAGTCTGCACATCAATGCAACAGTTTACAGCTGTAGAAGTTGAGACAACAGCATCAGAGAAATGGTCACTAGTCAGCATCAGTCCTCAGTCTTTTGTCTTGTGATAACAGCTGCAACCTCACTTGGGCATCCTGTGCAGCGCGTCGAGTGCTACCGGTCCCTGAGCCATAGGTGCGGTACCAACTAGCGCAGGTCCCTTGATATCCAATGAACATACAAGGTTCAATGG